AGCCTGGGTGACTGAGTGAGACACTGTCTCAAAAACAAACAAGCAACAACAAAAAGCCCAAGGGTGAACTACCCTGGTCTCCAGACCCTACCAGCGATCCCTAGACCCACCAAGTGTCCTGTAAATACAGGCTAGTTTAGTCTGCAGGGTGAAGGATGTGAATGACTGCTCGTGGAATGAGTCCACGGCAGGGACCCAGCTCAGAGCTCCTGGACATGACAGCAGCAGTCAGCAACAGGAGGACCCCCCTGGTGCCTGGAGCCTGTTTGTCTAAGTCCAAACTCTCTTTCCAGACACAGATTGACCCCGGGACTGAAGGAGAGGGTCCAGAGTATAGCAGGCTCCCCCGCCCAGCACCCCCTGCACACCAGGAGAGCGCCTGTCTTCCTGCCTCGGGTCTCACTCACTCTATCCACCCTCCACAGTGGTTCATAGTGATCCTTCTAAAGGGCAGTTCTGACTGTGACACTCAACTGCTCGAAACCCTTCTATGGCTTCTTGTTGCACATAGGACCAAGCCCCAACTCTTGGGCCTTTCACACCAGCTGGGTGACGGCTGTGAAGGCTCTTCTTCATCAGCTCGACTGTCTTTGCCTTGGCAAGCCAGAGCCCAGGGGTTGGAGCCCAGCCCAGGTTAAATCTGATGAGTTACGTGACCTTGGACAAATTCATTTCATTTCTCTGATCCCTGAGGGTGGCAAAAACAATCCAAAAGTTCTTCCAAATAAGGACTAACATTTGGCTGAGAGAACTCTCTGCAGAGGGTCCAGAAAGCGCCATCCTCTTTCTGGAGAATTCTCTTGTCTTCAGAATTCCCAGTGAGACACCAAGGAGAAACCTCTGCAGCCCCCAGTCCTCTCTCTGGAGATCCGTTCATCCTAATGGCTTCTGTCCTTTCTAAGTGACACATCTACACCTCCAGCTCTGGGTTTAAAGATGCATCGATTGAAGGGCCCATAGACGCTTACATCCAATATAAGGACATCTTCCTGCCAGCACCTCTCATTTGACAGCAAATCCCCTCTAACTGACCTTCTCAGCAGCTCCGGAAGTTTATCCCCTGCAAGTCCAGATCCTTAGTCTCCTTCCGGAGCACCTCTGCTTCTATTCCATTCTCCATCACGTAGATAAAGGACAAATTCTAATATGCTAATGAGACCAGACTTTCCACTGTTTAGAATCCTCCAGACTCCTGATCATTCCTGGGAGAGTCTAAGCTCCTTCATGTCCTTTCTCCCGGCTCTACCTTGCTCTCTGTCCTCTGCTCATACCCAGACTGCAATTCTGGCTGTCCTCAGGGGTACACGGCTGAGTTGGCAGTACACCTTGCTTTCCCTCAGCTCTAGGCTTGGACCTGAGGGGCTCTGGATTTGCACTATTTCTCCTACCCTAAATACCCCTTGATCTTTGCTTCCCTGGGTGAACTCTGGAATCATCTCCTCTAGGAAGCCTTCACCGGCTAAGTTTGTGTTTGGCGAGCCCTCGCGATTGGCCACTTGCTTGCAATTTCCTATCACGTACAGCTCTTATCACCTGGTATTGTGAGCATCTGTTTCTTCCAAGACATGTTTTCATTAACTCATTCAACTATTTGTTGAGCGCCTATATGTGCCGGGAACTATTTGGGGTGCAGGGGAAACAGCAGTGAACTAACCAAAATCCCTGTCTTCTTGGAGTCTATATTCTTCAGGCTCTTTGAGGGCAGGAACTGTCTGGCACCAAGGAAACACTCCATAAAAAAGATGGTTAGTATTGTCAGTATTACCTGGGACATGGCACCCAAAGCGCTCTTAGCTGAGCGAGCTGCAGCCTGGAGGCCCTGCTGACCTGGCTCTGGGGTTTCCAGGCGTTTCCAGGAGGAGCCTGTGCAGAGGTTGAGGTTGACGGCTCTCAGGGGCAGCCTCCTTTGGAACTGCCTGCACAGAGACCCCAGGGCCCCTGCAGAGGTCTCCTGATGGCTGGCCACAGGCTGCAGCTCCTTGCTGTCCTCCAGCTGCTCCTGGTGCCGGAGAGATCTCCGGCGCACAGAGGTCCCCATGCTCTGCCACCGAGAAGCCATTTGTCTGGCCAAGAGTCTTCTCTGTCCACTAGACCCTGGGGAGGAGGGCAAAAAAGCAGGTCAGCAAGGCATTCCCCATCCCCATTTCCAGGCCCCACAGAGACCCTGGACACAGGGGAAGAGATGGGATGCAGCGGGGTGGCGAGGGCGGGCGGGGAGCGGGCGAGTTGGCAAGTGTGGGTGCGGGAAGGAGGATGCTTCCTGGAAGAGAGGTCTCGGGTCAGCAGCATTTCTGGCGCCCCCACGCAGATCCCGGCCTTCCCACCAGAAGCACCGATTTTGATCTGACGCTTGTAGTACCCAGACGCCTCCACAGGCCGTGCGTGTCCGAACCTGATGCCCTCCCCTCTGAACAAAAAAAATTGTTTTGAGCCGAGATCGCGCCATTGCACCCACCCAGGCAACAAGAGCAAAATTTGTTGTGCCCCGCCCGCACTCACCCGACAGCACCAACGCCGATCACACCCCGAGCACAGCTGCTCCTCGCCCACCACAGCCGGTTTGAAACTCTGCGCGGCTCCGCCCCAGGCCCCGTCCTCACAGCTGATTGGTTCTGTCCCCGCCCCCGCCCCGCCCCAGGGATCCGATTGGCTTTCTCTGTCGCGGCTGTAAATGCTGCGCTCGGATTGGCCCGGCCGTCCCCATTCATCTCTCCGGCCCCCTCCCGGCCGCCAGCCTCGTGGCTCCGGGCTTTGTATTATGCGTCCCGCCCGGGCCACCGCCCTTGCCCGCCCAGCCCCCGCGCATCGCACGCCGGGTCCCCTCCCTGGAGCGCGCACAGGGTTGAGGCTGCTCTGATCCATGGGGTGGAGGCGGAGGTCCTGGGATCTAGGCCTCCTGGCTCAGGCCCCAGGCCCCGCAGTGGGCAGGGACCCTGTCCATCCTGCCAAGGGGTCTGGCTTTTCTTTCTTGCTCAGTGGTTTTGTCCGAAGGCGCCAGGGCCTGGCAGTGCGGAGCCCTGGGTTCCCAGAGACGTTTTCTTTCCAATTTCCCTCCTGACCCTCCCTTCCTGTGACAAGACACTGTCCCTGAGTTCCCCATACTCGCCCTTCATGCTCCGCCCCGCCTAGAAGATGCGTCCTGGAAGCGGGGATAGACCAGAGTACCCGTCTGCCCTCCTCCCGCCTACACCAGCTCCCCGTCCCCGCCTTGCCCCACGCATCCCTCCCTCTCTCAGCGGAATGCCTGCCTCTCCTCTCCTTAGCATCCAAACACAATCAGCCATTATAGAAGTTCATCCTTCTCCTTTCGGTGACCTCAGAGCTGTGCTGCCCAGTCCCCCGGCTGGTTTCTTTGTTACCTCTCCCGCACAAGAGCCTGAGATGCTGACTTCTTGAAAGACTGTCTTCAGCCCTCTTCGTTTCTGGGTGGTCTCACCCACTCCTTTGGCCTCAGTGATTTCCAAAGAAAGGATGATGATAATGATTAACGTGTATATGGCCCTTAGTATGCGCAGGTACTGGTGTTGCAGTTTATTAACTGATTTGACCCTCTGCTATGGTTTGAATGTGTCCCTCAAATTTCACATGTTGGAAATGTAATGCCCAAATTCGTATATTGGTGGCATTTCTTTGTTTGTTTTTGAGACGGAATTTCGCTCTTGTTGCCCAGGTTGGAGTGCAGCCGGGCGATCTCGGCTCACTGCAACCTCCGCCTCCCGGGTTCAAGCGATTCTCCTACCTCAGCCTCCTGAGTAGCTGGGATTACAGGCGCCCGCCACCACGCCCAGCTAATTTTTTGTATTTTTAGTAGAGATGGGGTTTCACTATGTTGGCCAGACTGGTCTCGAACTCCTGACCTTAGGCAATCCACCAGCCTCAGCTTTCCAAAGTGCTGGGATTACAGGCAAGAGCCACCACGCCTGGCTATCGGTGGCATTTTTTTTAGACATATAAATTGTTATTTATTCAAATTATAGAATATTATACAATATTGAAAAATAAGTGAATTGTAACCAGATGGTGTAACTTAAGTGAATGTCAGAAATATAATGGTAGATTTAAAAAAAAGCAATATGCAGACAAACATAAAGTATGACAACCATATAAGTTCAAACACAAAAAAAAACTAAACAATATGGTTTAGGAATATGCACACACATTTGTGGACAAAGCTATTATGGAAAGCAAAGGAATTGTAAACACCAAAATAAAATAGGTAGTCATTTTTTGGAAGGGTGGCAGGAGAAGAGGATGTAATGAGGAAAGGGCTCAAAGGACTTCAAAGGTAATGTTCCATTTTGTAGGCTGGGTGGTGGCCACATGAATGTTTACTTTCCTCTTTATTATTTTTTTCCTTTTAGACAGGATCTTGTTCTGTTGTCCAGGCTGAGATGCAGTGGTACAATCATGGCTCACTGTAGTCTCAACCTCCTGGGCTCAAGCAGTCCTTCTGCCTTGACCTCCCAGAGTTCTGGGATTACAAGCGTGAGCCACCTTGCCCGGCCTTTATTATTCTTTAAACCATATATGTATGTAATTTTATATGTATCCATTTATATTTGTGTGTGTATACACATACCTGTACATATATTATTTTGTAAGTATGAGCTACTTTGTAATTTTTAAAAAAAGATTTTTAAAAATTGACAAGTAATAATTAAACATTTATGGGGCACACAGTGATGTTTTGATACATATAATGTAGAGTGATCAGCTCTGGGTAATTGGCATATTCATCATCTCAAATATTATCGTTTCTCTGTGTTGGGAACAGTCAATATCTTCCTTCTAGTTATTTGAAACTGTATATTATTGTTCACTCTAGTCATCCCACAGTGCTATAGAGTACTAAGCTTATTACTCCTATTTAGCTGTAACTTTGTGTCTTTTAACAAATCTCTCCTATTCCTTCCTTCCACCTACCATTCCCAGCATCCAGTATTTGGATGAGGTGAGGCCTTTGGGAGGTAATTAGCATTAGATAAAATAAAACAGGGTAGGCCCCATGATGGTACTGGTGGCTAAAAAAGAACGGGAAGAGAGACCTGAGCTGACAGGCACGATTTTGCCCTCTCACCATGTGATGCCTTCTGCCATGTTACCACACAGCAAGAAGGCCCTTACCAGATGCCAACCAGATGCCAGTGCTATGCTCTTGAACTTCCCATCCTCCAGACCATGAGCTAAATAAATGTCTTTTCTTTATAAATTATGCAGTCTGTGGTATTCAGATATAGCAGCAGAAAATGGACTGACACCTTCATTGTACCTACACTTGATGAGGAAACTGAGAATAGAGAATTTGGTTGGGCCCAAATTTCACTCAGTTAGTCTACACCAGGGCCAAGGATTCAAACTTCAAGGTTCAAGTTTGAAGTTTGAACCCACTATATTCATTTTACAAGAGTCACTAATGGGGTATGGGTTGTGGTTTGCAAAATATTGCTCTAGTTTGCCTGTCCTTCATTTTTTAGTGGATACAGGGTTTCATCACATTGGCCAGGCTGGTCTCGAACCCTGGAGTTCCTCCAGTCATCAGAGCCGTATCAAAACTACAAAGGAAAATAAAAGTGTTTATCATAAAAGTCTAAGGAGAGAGGGAGAGCACACTATCACTTGCAGGTGGCAAGTGTCTGCTTCTGGGATGCTGGCAATGCTCGCCCTTGACCTAGGTGATGCTGTTTATCAACCTAGTGAAGTTGTTTATCAACAGTCAGAAATGCTGGTTTTCAAACCTGTTTGTAACAGTTGCATTTGTTACTGTAATTAAGGAATTTAATTGATGTCTTTTACCAATGAAATCCAAGGGGGAAAAGAAAGGGTTGTTGTTTCTATGAAGACTAAGTTGAAAGTATGGGAAAGAGTCCATGAAGGGGAAATACTTAGAAACAAGCAAAGTCTCTCAAACCAGAGCGTCTTATCACAATTTGCCTCCCCAGTGCCTGCCATGTCACAGGCATCCGTAATAATAGTTTATATTTTTTGAGCCCTCACCATGTGTCAGACGCTCTGCTAAGTGCATTTACTTTCTTTATTCTTTCTTAATCCTCAAGCAATTCTATGAAGTAGGTACTATTTTTATTTCCATTACAGATGACAAAAGTGAGATGCAGACAGGTGAAATATCTGGCCCAAGATCGTGTGGAATGTCGGAACTGGAGCTTAAATCCAGTGACTGACTTCAAAGCCTGAATTCTTACCCTCAGATTACACAGCTTTGTCAAGTATCTGGGGTGACACAATGAATGCATGCATGCATAAAGAGGCCCTCCCTGCTTGGAGCTTTCCATCCTCTTCCCTCACTCAGAATGGTAACTGGCAGGTCAGGTTAATGAAGAACAGTCTCCATGGCAACAAGTAAAGGAGGAAGAAACATTTTCTTCTGAATGAGAAGCCTTTCCCTTCTGCCTTGCATGGAGTGGTGGCTGGAGGGAGGGAAGGAGGCTGTGCTCAGGAGAAACAGGTTCCTAGTCCAGAGGTCAGTACAGGGGCTTCTGTTCTTGGTAAGGAGGAGAAACCAGTCACGTGTTCCTAGTGGAGGCTTTTGGAGGGGGAGGGAATCCCAGCATCACTCTTGCCTCTGTTGGGGAGGGGGATAAAGGAGAAGCTCCAGCCCTGCTATCCAGGGGCTCTTTGTCCAAGAGCAAACATTCCACTAGTTTCCTTGACCTCCTGAAACTGTCAATCTGATGGAAGACATAGACATTAAACACATTATTGTAAACAATTACAATTGGGTAAAGTAGCATGAATGTGCAGTGCTAGGGAGAAGTGACAGGGGGTACAAGGGGGATGGGGAGATTGACTGGAGCTGGAGGTCAGGGTAGTCTTCCCTGAATGTGTGGTGTTTGAAGGGAGGAGCTAGTGGGCCAATGGTTGGGAGTCTGGAGCATTGCCAAGTGTTAGGACTGGGGAAAGTCTGGACAAAAAGGGTAGGGCTGAGATCAGGGGCTGAAGGTAGGGGATGGGGTGGCAAGAGACAGGGTCTGTAGGTCAGAGAAGGAGCTTAAAATTTGTCCTGAAGGTGGTGGCAACTCTTTGCTGAATGTTAAGAGGGTAGTGGGTTATTAGAGCGGCATTTTAATGAAGTCCATGACGAGACTGGTTTGGGAGCGGCTATAGTTTTAATGTGTCCCCCAAATTTCATTTGTTGGAAACTGAATCCTCAAATTCATATGTTGATGATATTTATGGGTGGGGCCTTTGGAGGGTAATTAGGATTAGATAACATCATCAGGGTAGGACCTTGTGATAGGATTGGAGGCTTTACAAGAAGAGGAACGGAGACCTGAGCTGATGTGCATGCTCTTGTCCTCTTACCATGTGATGCCTTCCACCATGTTATGATGTAGCAAGAAGGCCCTCACAAGATGCCAACACCATGCTCTTGGATTTCCTAGCCTCCACAACTATGAGCTAAACAAATGTCTTTTTTAAAAAAAAAAAAATAAATTATGCATTCCGTGGTGTTCAGTTACAATCACAGAGAATGAACTAAGACAGCAGGCAAAGGGTTTCTGGGGCATCAGTCTGTAGCCTGTGGCCCAAGCCCAGGCACAGACCAGGAACGATC